TCTTTCTTGAATTAATCAAGAAAGAAAGTCATCAGATGGCCCAGACTTATTCAGATTAATGAAAATAACAGTCTCTGTCCATCTGGTAGATTTGAGGTCAGATAAGGGTCAGACCAGGTTCACTACATCACTCACCCTCTTAGCGGATGTTAAAGCCAGCAGCAGGGCTGTTTTAAGAGACAAGAATTTAATTGGAACCTGATCCAGAGGCTCAAATGGAGCTTTGATCAGGGCTCCCAGGACCAGCATTAAAACCCACTGTGGAGCAAGTGATCGTGAAAACAGGCCTGCGTCTCTGTACACCTTTTAGAAAACACTTCATCAGCGGATGATTAAAAGCTGTTCTGTCTCCGAACCCTTCATGGCAGGCAGAGATGGCTGCAGTGTACGTTAATCGTGCCGGACGCCAAATTTCTGTCCATCAGCTGTTGCAGAAAGGACAGCACGTCGCCTAGTGGACATGAAGGTGGCCTCTACACCTTTCTCTGTACACTAGCGCTGAAAAAAACTGTTCACTTTGATGTGTACAGTGCTGTGGTAGATGCAGCACGTGAATCCTGAATTGTGCGCACTACATCCTGTGGGAGACCCGTCCCTTCTAAGCGGGTCCGCTCAGCGGCCAGACCCACAGGTGCTGGCCTATTTCTGGGTAACTCCTGATCGCTCCTCCTGCCTGAAGGAGAGCGTCCTCCCTCCACGGCAGTTTTCACGGGCGCCCCGATAGCAGGCGTCGCAGGACTGGGAACAATGGTGCGTCCACGCGCTCGGGGGCCACCAAGAGAGCTGTCAATCCCTCCTCCTGAACTCGGTTCAAGAACCGTAAAATCAAAGGAGGTGGAGGAAACGCGTAAAGAAGCGTTTTGGGCCATGGGCTGTGGGCAACGCATCCACCCCCGGCGGTGGTTCGTCTCGCGGGCTCAGAGAAAACCATAGTTGACACTGAGCATTTTCTCTTGTCGCAAACAGGTCCACAGCTGCTTTGCCAAATTTCTGCCACGTCTGGGCCCTCAGGTCTGGATGGAGAGTCCAGTCCCCGTGACGTGGGCCGCCCCTGGACATCACATCTGCCCCTTTGTTCAGAACACCAGAACTGTACACTGCTCTGATGGAGAGCAGATTTTGGTGTGCCCAACGCAGTAGTTTTTGTTGCAATGTGTAACATCTGGGCTGAGCGCACACACCCCTGCCGGTTTATGTACGCAGCAGTAATCTTGTTGTCTGTGTGAATCAAAACGTGTTGATTCTGTAGCACAGGAGCAAAGTGTTGAATCACATTCAGCACCGTGCGACACTCCTAAACATTTATGTGGGCTGATGTGTGATGGGGCCATAGCACCCCTATAGCTTGAGATAGGCATGTCCCCCCCCAACCTGACAGCGACGCATCTGTGAAGACTGACACGTGTGACGTGGGTCTGCTGACGGGGACTCCCTCCGACAGAGCCAGGGTGTTTCCCCAGTATCAGAGGTCTACTCTCACGGAGGAAGGGACAATGATCATCCGCCTCTTTTGTTTTACTGGGTCCACACGCAGACGCGCAGACCACCTCTGGAGGCGTCTCATGTGTAATAAACCCAGTGGGACAACTGTGTGAGCTGATGATATCATTCCTAACAGCTTCATGAAGGAAACAGCTGTTACTACTCTGCCAGGTCTTACGTGGCAGAGCTGGTCTTTCAGAGTGTCGATTCTCGTTTGTGATAAACGAGCCCTCATGCTGGTTGAGTTTAGCTCCAATCCCAGATAAACAATCGTCTGGGCCGGGAGAATCGAGCTTTTCTTCCAATTTATGGCAAAGTCCAGATTTAACAGGTGTGATTGTCAGCGCCTGGACCTGTCCCACTGCTTCCTGTCTGGAGCATGACAGCAGCAACAGTTCGTCCAGATAAAACAAAACTCTCATCCCTGCTCTGTGCAATGGTTGCAGGGCCGTCTCCACACACTTTGAGAACGTACGAGGCGCGAGGGAATACCCGAACGGCAGCCTGTTGTACTGATACTTCACCCCTTGAAAGGAGAAACGCAGGAATTTTCTGTGTTTTGGGATGAT